GACCCATACCAGCTGAGCAGTGATGGAAGGTATATGCTAGATCTGAAAGAAACATTACCAGAGCATTTTCTATTTAGCATTGTCTTTAATGATGTTAAGGAGGGCATTCTCTTGAGGAAATGAATGGCTTTTGCAGATGATGCTGCAAAGAACACTAAAGTACAAATTAGAAAAACATATATAAGCCTTAAGTAATTTCACTTTAAGGCTGATAACAGAATAAGATTCATCTTAGAAAAATGCAGACTAATAGTAACGATACATTTGGGAAAAAATAATCTACAATGCAGACACTCAGCCAGTGAGTAGGCGAGCTCTGGCCAGAATACCAAGCCAGCCATGGGGTGAGAAAAGTCTGTGTTTGCAATGTGATACTCTAGAAAATCAGCAGAGCTGTCTGAGAGCTGAATCCATGGGCAACTCAGGTTTCCAGAGTGACAGCGGGAGACTTTGACATCAAGCACAAATCAGCCAGTATTCCCCAGAATGAGTTTGTTGACATTGTCATGACTTGATAATAAATACCAACAGTGAGTAGATAAATTCATGTGTTTCACAGTGTCGAGGAAATGCCACAGTTAGTATTGAAGAAGAACAGAAAGATATGATATTCTTTCTAGCAGGGTGTTTTGAAGACTGACCAAACATCTCAGTGTAGGATGATGACTAAAGAGGGAGCTCACTGGCTGTCGGCTTTCTTCCTTCTAGTTCTCGGGGAACAAAGATGAAACCAGGAAACAAGGGAAGAAAGATGTCAAAAGATGGTTTACAAGTTGACTGTAATTGATAAGTAGTTTAAACAATTGGCCAACCCTATAGAACCAGATCTTTCTTGGGAATTTGCAAATATCTTTGAATATGTCTAGAGTATCCATAAACTGATGCTCAAAACACATGCATCTATGATTGAATGATTGAGTCATTAGTAAATGTATCAGACCATTCATGAAGTTTTGTCATTATTAAAATGTGTTTTTAAAATAAGGATTCAACTATGTTTGTTAGTTCAGTTAAACAAGTTAATTATAATTGTCAATGCTCCTGGTTTGAAAACTTACACAAAACTGTTAGGGGTTGCTTATTGACTGAAAGAAAAGTCATGTACTGATAAGCCTTGGACCTCACATGTAAGGAAAAGCCTGGACCCTGGGCCAAAGCAACTTTGAAATTTCCTTAGTTTAGAATTTATCTTAATGTAGACTTAGAAATTAAATGATTTCATCAGAAATTAACAACACATAGTATGATAATACATGGCATTTTAAGGCTAATGTAATTTTGAAAAATTCTAGCATTTTTTATTACTGCTGTTAGACAAAAGTCTGGGTTAGAAAACAGTTCTGTTTTATTGAATCCTAGGTAAACTGGTGTTTAAATAACAAAACTTAATTAGGTATTAGGCTTTCTCTTAAATAATCATAGCCCTTTGTCTTTAACATGGCAAGCACGGTGTTAAAGGTTTTTCAACATGGGGAAGGAAATCCCCAGGTACTGGTAATTCCTATTAAAGTTTAATTGGAAATCCACAGAGGAAATTCTGTTGTAAACTATAGAGATAAAAAGTAGATGTTAAGATTAGCTTGTTTTGACAAGTCAGTTTTTGTCGTACAGTTCTTTATCAAAAGCTGCAGTTAGAATTGGATAGTATCCAGACTCTGGGTCAGGCAATAGAGACACAGAGCAATTTGAGATGAGCACCATTCACATCCATCACGGCACAGAAAGCACAGTTAAAGAAGTCTGGACCAGGCATGGGACAAACCAAAATGAAAGAACTAGGGAAGAGTCCTTCATAAAAAGAAGAGGTGGAGTCAGGCAAGGTTAAATTGGAAAAGTAATACACAAATAAAGAAAAACTGAATTCTCATTCCAATAAGAATAGCTACCTATATCTAGAACAATGGTAATTATGTTATGTATTACTGGACCAAATATTCTATATGACCACATAACAGAGATAATGCAATATCTGATAATGATAATCTCTCAGGATGCACACAAAATTCATGGTAATTAGAAAATTGATAGGGAAGACTATTTTTGCCCCATTTATATAGTAGACACATGCCCTTTAATCACAGGCCTGACATATAAGATGCCTAAATCCTAATTTCCTAATAAATTTCCTCCTTCTCAAGAAACTCTTGATTCCTTAGCTATTTATTCATTTCATAATCTTTTAACTATGAGCAGCAAGATCAGTTATTACATTACGTGGATCTTTATTCTCCAACCCCCATCTGTCTGTCTGTCTATCTATCGCTGTCTCTCTTTCTCTCACACACACATACACACTCACAGAATTCATATTGTACCATATTAATTATAGAGAAAATGGTGCGCTTAATATGAGATTTTAAATTTTTATCAAGAAAACAAGCAGGCAGAATGAAATGGTCACAGTGGAACATATCTGTAATTCTAGAATCAAGTATAGAAATGCCTGATAGGACTATTTATTTTCTTCAGAAGTGATTTGGTCAAATAAGCTACATATAGTATTTTTTTTTACAGCATTCATCTTGAAGTGTATAAAATGACATCTTTATAGAAACATCCCCTACTTATTGGTCAGTTCCTATGTATTCTAGGAAGATCTTTCTCTAATTCCTCCAGCAAAGGATTATCAGCAAAAATAATCATTTTACCCAAGTGTTTTGGACACTTCAGTGGGACAGTCTTGATATATTTATTATATATACTTATTGATAATTCTTTTCTAAAGATTTAGTTTTATAATTATGTATATGTGTGATGGGGAATATGTGCACATGAGTGCAGTTGCCCATGGAGGCCGGAAGAGGGCATCAGATTCTCCAGAGCTAGACCTACAGGTAGTTCTTAAGCTGCTGGGAACTGTAATTGGGTTCTATGACTGAACAGCATGTACTCTTAAGTCCCAACTCATATCTCTGGCCCTATTGATGTTATTCTTAATGATCCCAGTTACACTGTACAAGTAGTCATGTGATAAGAATTCTGGTACTGCTAGTATTTTTGTACCTTCATGCATTAAGAGAATTTCATGTACCAAACTTTTTTTTTTTTTTTTTTGGTTTTTACGAGACAGGGTTTCTCAGTATTGTTTTGGAGGCTATAGGTCCAGCCCTGCCTCGAACTCACAGAGATCCGCCTGCTTCTGCCTCCCGAGTGCTGGGATTAAAGGCGTGCGCCACCACTGCCCGGCCTGTACCAAACTATTTGATAACATTTCTTTTTCCTATTGAGTTTAGTTAAAGAAATCACTCTTCTGTTAGTAGAACTAGTAGATTTAATAACATATTTAAGTTCAAAAAGGTAGTGTTTAGTCTTATTTACTCTAGAGACAAGAGACTTATATAAAAATCACTAAGTCAGTACTAGCAGAGCAAATTATGTTAGGTGGGTGTAGTTTTGTGCCAGCTATGATGAACTATATGGATATGTGTGCTGAGCATTCAATTACAAATTTTTACCTCTAAGTCTATTTGCTTTCCAGAACTCTTCAGTACTGCTTACTAGGTCATGATATTGGGTAAATTGCACCCAATCTAAACTGCTTTAGACTAGATCAAAGCAGTGTAGAACAATGAAGGATTTCATGTCTAAGCATGGCCCTGTTGTATGATCTTAAGAACAAAGTTTTATCAAGAGTCTTGCATTTTGAAAAGTAAATTGATTTGAACAAATAAAATACAACTTTTTACATTAGTTCAGAATATTCATCCATAAATGTAGAAGTGGCATGTCGTGTATGCTTCTGTGTAAGAATACCTTTTGATTTCAAAAATACATTTTTCTTTTATTGGAGGTAACTGGATGAATGAAATTTTATCAATAAAATTCTACTCTGTTTCTTTCAATGATATTAAAAATTAAGACTAAACTTTTAATATATGTTAGGGAGAAAAAGGAGATAGGGGTTGTTATTCTCTCATTTCTGACCACTAGAGAATAAAAGTATTTGACTTATTTTGTTTAAATGTTTCAACTTACACTTCAGAAAGCAGCTATGAAATGAGTAGAAATCTCAGGGAATACACAATAAAATAAAAGGCTCAAAGTCTTTTGATAGCAAGAGAAGAAAGTGGAGCCCCAAAAGCTCATGTCAACACCAGTGTTTTAACATGGTAAGATCAGTACTCGGGGCAGTGCAGGCTGAGAACAGCCCCCTGCCTCGCCACTCCATTCAACTGGCAGCCTCTCCCTAGTTAAATTTCCATATCTAGTCCTCTGATGACTGAAGCAAACAGCAAAATCAGTAAGGCGCAGTTTGGTGGGACTGGCTTTCTCAGTGTCGTGTCTTTTCCTTTCTGTGTTGCTCAGCACCGGGTCATCTTTAGGACTCCATATCCCATGGGAGGAAGGTTACCAGACTGAAAGTTCACTGTCTTGAGCGTGTGATTGCTCATCACGTTTTTGCCCTCTAGGTGCCAACCTGGATTCACTGGAGCCAGATGTACTGAGAATGTGCCCATGAAAGTCCAAACCCAAGAAAGTATGTTCCAATAATCTGAAATCTGCTCTCTCCACCAAACTACAGCAACAATCGCAACCACTTGGTGCTTTTACAGCTCAGTTGAACTGATAGCTTTTGTTCAAATTATGGTGTCTCTGCTCAGGGCATAAACTCATCCACTGTGGTCTCAGTTACCTGCCATTCACTTAGGCCTGAAAGTTAAAATGGGAAAGGATGGCCAGAGTGAACCCAACTCCAAAACATTTTCTACCTCTTTCTTTGACAAGATGACTAAAACATCACAACTGTTTTGTGACTTCTTTGGAAAGAAAGCAGTCACCTAGAAGTCCTGGAATCGTACTATCCTATAAAGCTGCAAACCAAATTTTAAGCACTGGGGAGATGCCAGAGTATGAGAGCCATGATTAGGACAAGGATTCAGTTCCTGAGGGTGAACTCATCAAGCTCAGTCAATGACACTCACGGAGCTTCTCTAGCGTATATTCACCTCTTCTCTTTTTCTCTGTTTTTTTCTACCATTGTTTTTTGTTTCTTCTCTCAGGTGCCCAAATGAGTTTACTGGTGATCGTTGCCAAAACTACGTAATGGCCAGCTTCTACAGTACGTCCACTCCCTTTCTGTCTCTGCCTGAATAGGAGCATGCTCAGTCGGTGCTGCTTTCTTGTTGCTACATCTCCCCTCAGAGCCACCTAGAGCTAGAGTGTTCTACCAGGTCTAATATTGACTGCCTCTGCCTGTCGCATGAGAACATTAACAAAGCCATTGTGTTACCTCCTCTGTTTGTGACTAGTCGGCTCTGAGTTACTAATAGGTGTGTGAGGCTCCAGATGTTTCTGAAATTGATAATGCATAATGTGATGACAACTGATAGTTCACATCAAGGAGTGAAATAATAATAAAGACATTTCAAACTCGCACTTGTATTGATAAAAACAAAACCATTGCACCGAGCAGTCCCTCTTCTGTATGCAACATCCACATCCTGAAAAGGCTGTTGTTAGGCTGTAACCAACATACCCCTGAAGTGATGGTAAGTTAATTTTGGCTCAGAGTGTGTTATTCATAACAAATAAACATCACCAAAAAAGTTCAGATGTTTTTCTTCATTAACGAAAGTTCACATGCAGGCAGGCATACAGACCAACAAACAACAATACTAGGTAGAAAAATTAAAAACAAATATTTCCCATCCAAGGAAATATGTAGGTTTATATTTATATTTCTTGGGATATAAGTAACTCAGAATCAGTTTAGATAATCACCATTATCCCAGTGATTTTTAATATGAGTATTTATGTTGTCTTAAAAGGTAATCTTAGAAAGTAGGTATTATTTTGAAAACTAGTATTTCAAAGTATAATAATTCAAACCTAGGATAAATATGTAAATGTTTATTGGAGAACTGGCAAGTTTAGTGGATGTCTGTGAGGTCATGATGTTTAAAACATCATTCCTACACTACTCATTCCACATTGTAGATAATTGCCCAGGTAACAAAAGCAGATTTTTGTCTATCTCCTGTGAACTGGGATAGCATCTCTTGGGCTCTGAAGCCTTCAGAAAACCATATTTGCTTATATCCCACTTAACTGTTTAGATCATTAATTGGTAAGATTTTACTATAAAGGTTCAGATAGTGTTTTAAGGTTTATGGTGATGGTGTCACAACTAACACCCTCCCCCTCCACCATCCTGGTAGCTTGAAAACAGTCATAGACAGTGAAAAAAACTGATGGGCCAGCCTGTGTTCCACTCAATCTTTATTTCCATATGTCAGCACCAGGCTGCTTTTGTCAACCCTATCAATTAGTAATCATCAAAAGTATTTACATAGCTCATTACAGTTTAAATTCTTAAAGGTTTAAAAATGATCACACAAGCTGGTCATTTAGATTTCATGAGAAGAATGCAGCTCTGTTACTAGTCACAGAAATCAGCACTTAGGAAGCAGAGTCAGGTTGATCTCTGTAAATTAGAATGTGCCAGAGCTACACAGTGACACATGTTACCAGAATTAATAGCGTATATTTAATGAGATGTTGTTTTATGTTAGCAAAGATTATGCCATAAGCTATAATTTTCCCTTGAAAAAACTGACAAGGTGGCACTGTTAACATTTTGAATAATAGCATTTATAAGACATGAATTTACTCTCCGTAGCTATAGATTTTTTTAAGTTGATAGGATAGAAAGTAAAAATAGAAGGGAAAACATAATTTTATTTAGTGCAATAAAGGGAATTTTTGAATTGTTTGTTTGTGTTCAAAGAGCATAGATTTAGCAAGCACATGGTAATATAGGTATAAATCCAGTTTTTAGAGTTTGATGAAAATGGGTAAGCTATTCTTATGTAAGGTGTCAGACAGCTAGAGATGTTACACATTGAGGGGAAGGTTGACTCATTAGATAATGTCAACCATTAAAAATTCAAATATTTCTCAGAGCAATAACTCTATTAACTCTGCCCTTAGTAAGCACCAAATATGTTCTCATACACTTTTTAGCCATTTTCTCCTTTACTTGGCATTATTTAAAGATATCTGCTCTGTCTGAAGTTCAGAATGAGGCTCCTTAGACAAGATGTTTATTAAGCTTTCAGTGGCACTGTGGGAAAACATGCAGGAAATTAGCATTCATGTTTAACTTGATTTAATAAGGACAGATAGGCAGGCAAGTATGTTATGGCTGTATTATTGATACCACGTGTCTGGAGGAGCAAGCATTTCCAATCAGACATCATTTTTCCAGAATCATCTTGCCTGGAATTCATTTTCTAACCTCTGTATCTTAAGTTCTCAGTTTGTATCCTCCGGCAGATAATAGGAAGATAAGGGAATGAGTTTTATTACTCCATGTTCAAGTAACAGTGAATACTGAAAGAAAATCTAAAGGATATTCCCACAGAGGTTACTTGAAAATGTAGTATTAGAGAACATAGCACAATCTTTAAAGAGAAGATAGTCTCCTGCCTCAAATGAAGGTTTATAACTTAACAAACCAGATCCTCAGTTGAAGAATAACATTCCAAAGAGAATATACAGCTCTTCAAGGTGTTTAACATATAACTTCCATTATTAAGATTAGATACAGTCATTCTGATCACCATATCCTAATGATTGAGCTATAAATGCTGGTTTAAATTATGAAAGAGAGGAATGCAGCATATATATATATATATATATATATATATATATGTAAAACTCTCCTTGAAATGTAAAATAGTATTTCCTAAGAAATTCACATCTACTTTAGTGAGCCTTAAATCTGCCCTATTACACTGCCATTCCTAGTTAATAAAGTTGTAACACTGTGATCACTTGCATCTGGTGGCATGTGTGTAGGGAGCCCATACTCAATGTAATAGACTTTGAGGAGGAAGGAGAAAATACATTACAGTACCTAGAGGCAGCATGTGGCAAGTGTGTCCTGGAGAAGCTGGCAAACCATAGGAACTAAATATAGAACAGCTCACATTATACATTGTTTTGAAGTGAACATTTAGAACTTGAGGCCCATTCTCCAAATGAGTAGACTTCTCAGCCTTAAAACTACCTTTGAGTCACAGGCTATTAGAACATACATTATTTCATTGATTTCTAAATGTTTTCAAGAACCTGTTAAGATAATGTACTTACCAAACATGTATATCATGTATCTTGCTAACAGTAGAATAAAGAGCACTCTACACATGACATAATTGTCATAAATTTCAAACAAGTGTGAAATTTGCTTTGTGTGTATGTGTGTATGCATGTGCGTGCGTGCTCTTCTGCACAAAAAATTGGGGAATAAGGCAAAAGTCTATTACATTTCAAAGGCTCAGTAACAATGCAGATTGTGAGAAAAAATCTACATTTGTACAGGTAAGTCTGAAATTAAAGTCAAGACACTAAATTCATCCCATTTAGAGCTGCCATTAGTAGAACCTTTCAGAAAAACTCCAGAGATATAGAAAAGCAAGACTGTATGTCTTTGAGATTATTTGCATAAACAATTCCAAAGATGTTAAAAACAACACCCTGAATCCCGTGAAATTCAAACAAAAACCATAATTGCAATGGTTATATAATTTTGATGAAAGAAAGTTATTTTATTGTTCTTCTCTCTAATGCAGTTGAAAATTTAAATTAACCTCCAGGTTAATAAGTTTTCGTCAAGTAATTATAAAATCCTAGCACAAAGGATTACCGAGTCAATATTTAATAGTTTCTGGAGACTCTTAGATTTAAATTAATTTTTTATATTGCCATGGTCCTGGCAGGAAATCACATGTAGAAAAGGAAACTCAATTGTTTACAGTAACCTTTGTGTTTGTGAATTATTAATTGAATTTGAAGAATGTAGTGGCTAGCCAGAAGTTCAATAGAACCATGTGCTACATAATGAGCTAATACCAGCATTAGATTAAATAGAACAGACAGAAAGAATTTCTTTACATAATGGAAAGTTTGCATATTCTGCTGCTTTTGTTGGATGTAAAGTGAAAGAGATGGAGCTACCAAGAGTGAAAATAAATGAGAGCATCTTTGTTCTGGGTCGAGAATGACTGATGCATGCATCCTCCGCCTGTTTCCTTGTTAGAGCTCACAGCCAAAAGAGATTCCCATTTTAAGTACCAATTTCCCATTGAATTATTTAAAATTGGAGCTGCTTGATATGAATGACTTCCCTTGAAATGAAATTATAGTTAGGCTCACAGGCTTACCTATAAAACTGTAAATGCAGTAATATGTATGCATGGGCATGCTACTAATTTTATTGAAGACTTAACCAAGCTTTCTATGCAACTAATACAAATCATTAGAAGCGTTCACATAGGCATGGAATAATTCTTTGAAAAGGATTTTTTAAATAGATATGTCTTGATTTTAACCCTTAAATTACTAGTGACTTCTAATAGGGAAAGGCAAGAGACACAGAAGCTTCTAGAAACAAAATTGGATCATAGCCTCATGAAAGAAATGAGGAATGAAGTTTATTATCAATTTCCTTAGGAACTAAGTTTTTTCCATGTTGATGCTTCAAAGTTTATATGAAGAAACAAATGAGAAAAATGTCAGTCTGACAAACTGCACAGAGGCAAGAGAAATGCATTCATATTTGAACAAATGATTTTATTATGAATATCTTGTTCAACTGAATTAACCCTAAGTCTTCTGGTTCTCAGTTTTTTAAAAATTCAGATGACTTGTCAGGGTAGCCGGAACCCAAATCAGAAGTCATTGTAGATCCTCCCTCCCATTTTAAAGATGTATTTTTTGGGGGGAAGGGGTGAGCATCATTTCTTGAAGAGGCTACAAAATCTTCATCTATTTTTTTGATAGACCCTAAGTGTTTTCAGTGTTTCCCTACATACAGTACTTAAAGTAACGATGAATGCACTACACTGACTGTCTCATGATAAATCTCCAGATGTGTCTGTTTCCCAGAATACTGAGCCCCCTGCTGTTGCAGACCATAGTTCACTCCACATGGTCACCAATGAGCATGCCTATCAAGAATTTGTTCAGGTAGAGTTAAAGCTGACCAAAGTTACTAAATGGGTGAGTGGGAGAGATGGGATCTGAGTCAGGATCGACAACACACTCACCTTGTGTCTTTAAGGGCTGCCTTCTTGGTGCCCTAACAGATGTTTTTGTAAAAACTACATCCCTGCAGCATCTAGTGCAAGCTGAGGATCTAGTGGATTGTCCCAGTATGTCCATAAACTGTTAAGAGAAGGAAATGCAGACTTCTGTCTCTAACCCTTCCCTCCCACTTGCGTTCATCCTCACCAAATTACACTCAGGGAGAGAGAAGGCCTCCATGCTTGAGGAAACTTGACTGTCAATTTTTGTTGCAAGAAGGCACAGTAACTTTCCTGGACATTTTTTTTTCTTTGCCTCTTCCCCCACCCCTCTTTGCCCCATTTTCACCTATGCAGTCTTTGAGCAGAGTTGCAGAAGGGCTGGGCATCCGCTCACATTGTTCGGTGCCCTTATCTGGGTAGTGCTGAACTGTTGGCACCTCTGGAGCTAAGTACTGTGGAGAGCTGATCTAGTCACCTCTAAGTAATAGTTTGAAAAAGTTGTAAAGATCCCAGAAACTAGATCTCTTGTTTTTCTTTTCATCTTAAAAAAGGTGAGGTTTTGAGTTGCCCAATACTACCCAGAAGTTATATGAAAAACTGGAAGCAGTCGCCAGTAACCCAGCTTCCCTTTCTCATATTTCTGGGTGGAAGCTTTCATTGCTTTCTGTGAAGGAAACGGACAGCATGTGTAGTGAAGGACATGGAAAGTTAAGTGAGAGAGGTACAACTTTAAAAAAGAAAAGATACTAAAATATAACTACCCACCAGCAAGCAAAAGTAAATGCAATGTGATACAAATTTCAAATCAAATTACTGTCTTTTTGGCTTCTGATCCTGTCTCTGCCTCTGGATGCATGTAGTTAAAACAAAACAAAGACTTAGAACTTCATTTAAAAAACAAATCAACTTATTGCAAATGGCTTTTCTGGTTGTAAAACACTTCTCTTCTCAAATGATGAGTCAAGCATGATTCAGCTTCTAACCTCCCTGGGCAGAAGCTTTTAAAGGTTACTAAAGACCCTGTGCTTTCACGCCTGGCTGGTGGGCTCAGGCATCCCTGAGCATGCTTCTGTAACACCGCCTGTCCTGTTCCGTGTGCACGCACAGACAGCTGTCGTAGTCATGTGTAATTTGTTTTGGAGTGCGGTGTATTGCTCTTTTCTGAAACTTTTTTCCTTTTTTTTTTTTTTTTGTTGTCAACTTTCTGCATTGGCAGAGCATCTTGGGATTGAATTTATGGGTATGGACCAATCATCATTCCTTTTAGCCTGCAGAATGTAGAGCCTCTGCGCTGACCTCTTTTACCCTTCCTCCTCTTGCTTTTCAGTTCCTAACTAATTTCCTTTTTCTTTAGAAGGGATCATACAGCTATAACATTGGTTTCTCTGCTTCCAATCTATGATGGGTTCATGGAAATGTTAATGGAGTGCAGCAGTTTTTAAATTTCCAAGCCTACCTTCACTTTAGAGATTAAAGCGTCCCTCCTGCTGCAATTTATAGACCCCCACATTGTGTGACCCATTGATTGAACCATACTGTGGCTTAAAAGCTGGGGTAAGTTGGAGTGGTGCATAGGCTACAGGAGAAATCAAACCAAAGGCCAGAGGGGGGAAAGACAGTGCTAAGTACATCCACATAAAAGATAGCCCAATGGGAGTTTTACATACAACATAAAATCCACCTACCTAACATGGTGGCATAGTAGCATTTCACATTGCAGCGGTCCTATGTGCATGGACTCAGGCTTGGAGATACTCAAGTACATCTCCAGTGAACTTCATTTGCTTAGAAGCAAGTAAATAGAAAACAGACAATATAATTTTAGGTGGTCATTCCAGGGCTGATGGATTTAAATCAGAAACACTAAGATTAAGATTGTAGAAAGCTTCACACTGTAAATGTCAAAACAAAGTTCCCAAAGGCAGGTGAAATATAGGCACTTTCCACAAGAACCTTCATCCAAACAAAGTAGGGGAAAAAGCGTAAGGGTCCAGTCTTAGGAAGAGCTGGAGACTGTTACTGTCCCTCATCTCCAGGATCGTTATGAAAGCTGTCTGAAGGACTGGAACTGGGTCTTGGGTCAACAGCACCATGTTGTGATGAGCAAACAGTATGTTCCCTTAGCAGCTGGCTCATGGTACAGCAAGGGCATGTTGTCTCCTTTTGGTTGACAACAGCATCTACTCAGAAACATAATTGGTGGCACATGAGGTGGCAGCCAGCCCTGGCAGGTACAGGGAGAGAAACTTGTCATCTCTTCAAGAAAATAAAAATTTAAGAAGGAAACTATTCATTTTGCAGATTTAAAAAATGCCCAAATTTATATGAATGGGCTTTTTTGGGCATTAAAAAGAAAAACAAAAACCTCCTAAGTTTGAGGAACACAAAGAGCTCTATACATCACACTTGGGGATGCTTTCTTCCTCAAAGGAATAATCCCTCTGCTAGAAATCTCACAGTATTACAGCAAGTCAATGGCCAAACCCTCAGAACCACCTTTTTCACGAGTAGAATTTCCCCACCCAGGAGCTTTCTGATCTGACCATAGAATTAGCTATTTCTGTTTCTGGGCAGTGGAGTCAATTAGTTATGCTATGTAACTGTTCCCTCCGCCGTCCTCATGGTTCACAAGGGCAGTGTGCAGTTATCCACACATCTCAATGGCTTTGTAGAGTGTAAGGCCAGACCTTATATCCTGAAATAACACCCGACCTTAAGGGTCATTTAAAAACAAGAGAGCAAGAACAGCTCTGTCTTTTCTCCTGGACACATCAGTATGAAAATGTGTTTGACATGACTCACCACAGTCCATACAGCCAAACCAGAGAGACTTGGAGCATTTCCACTCATGGAGACAGGCCAGGCCTTTGGGCTGACGCTTAGTACTAGCTCTGATCTGCTCTTGCTCCGTGAATACTGTCAAGCAAAAACAAAAAAAAAATAGTAATTTAAAAAATACATGAGAAGAGCAATAGGCTAAAGGAACATACTGTTTGTCAAAGTTTTTGTTTCCCTTCAGCATTTGTATTGTGGAGATAGCCTGATCCACCAAAATCGTGAAAACAAAATCAAGAAGTTTAGGTAAGAAATTTGTAGTCAGTACAGGTGTGAACACAGGATTTAACCATGTTTGTGTTCTGTGCCTTTGGTTAGCTCCCTTTAGCCCTTGTCCATTACTGGGCACTGTAGTCCCTGAGATAACTGTTTTACTGATAAGCAGTAAGAATAGACCACTGACTGGTTCACATATCCGACCCAGACTGTTCTTTCCTAGTCAACACCAACCTGAAGAGAACTTGTTACAGGAATCCCTGAGAGTTTTGGGGGGCAAGTCATGATGCCCCCATGATCATTTCAGTCCTTCTGTATGCTCCTCCCCCCCAATTTTTTTTGAAGTTTGCAGAAAGCATTTCTTTGCTGTTACGCAGTCATGACAAGCTGTAACCAAAGACTTTTTGTTTTGTTTTGTTTTTAACCTGTCTTTTCCTTTTATCCATTTGTGGAACCAAACGCAGGATTCCCCATGTTCTTAGGCAACTGTCCTACCTCTGAGTGCACCCAGGCCAAGTCTCACCAATTAAAAAAAAGTACATTAATCAAAAAGGGGAATGCAGGGCCTGCTCTTTCTCGATGACAGTGCAAATGCTCCATTTGTTAACGTGTGCTATGTGAAGGAGCCCTGTGAAGGAAGAGCAGTGGAATGAGGTTTTGCTTCTTAGACATGCACATTAAAAATCATTAATGATGCTAAGGAGGGAAGCTACAGGGTCATTGATTGGCTCACAGATAGCACATCATAAAAAGCAATCCCCTGTTTTTGTCTCAGGGTAACAGATAGGAGCAATTAACACATAAGCCCTCCTATTCATGTCATTGTTAAACCTGAGCAGTGCACACACCAGTACATAAACTCCATGACACCAACCGTTTGTCTCCTGCATACTGTGGCACCGCAATGCACCAACTGCTTCGCTTTCTAATCATGGCTTCGATGTCATGGCCAGCCCAGGTTAGGAGTTATGCTGTATGGGACACCCCTTCCCACTCTGCACCCACCTTTTCCTCCCCCCACCCCAGCATCTACTCTGTCTGGTTTTCATTTCTTTGTTTATTTTTCCTCCCTTAATATCAGGCATGCTGTGCCAGGGACTCCAGATGGCTCCCTAACTTTTAACCTTGTTTTTCCTTTATACTGGACTTTCTCTGTGTGTCATTCTTTCAGTCTGTCTGTCCTCTTGATTTGTTTTTCCTCTCCACCTCCAACTCTTTCTGTTTGTCTTTGTATAATCTCTTCAGTGTCTTTTACCCACTGACTTCTGTTCTCTTAATAATCAGTGCTCTATTAATTTGATTTTACAATGTTCTTGACCTGTTAACTGGGACTTGATTACCATGGACTCGGCTTGTAGGAAACGCTTCCTTTCTTGATAAGATCCACTATTTGATAGAAATTAAAATTCACTTACTCATTTTTTAAGAAAATTTCCTGTGGCCTGTCCTCTCTCAATGCAGAGAAAGGTATAGCTTCTGAAGCTTCTGTTGGAAATAATCTCTGTACGTTTCTTGTTGATACAGAGACAAGGTCATTCTATTTGTACAGTCTTCTCCAGTTCTTGCCCAGCTTATTAATTTTAATGGTAGACAAACCATTTATAATGTGTGCTGGGTGAACATGTCAAGATCTTCCAATAAATATCATTAGATTTTTGAAAGTTCAGCTGCTAAGCAATCAGCATCCCTAGTAAGTCTGCAAATTTTGTTAACAACCTGACTTGCCTTTGTTTAAAACTAAGCCATCATCCGACGGCATTTATTTTCAACTAGAAAAGTTTCTGCAAATTACAGACTTACTGCATCTGGAGTAGAGTGGTACCTTAAGTTCAGATCTCTTTAGAGTACCACACTTCCTTAGAATGGTCAAGTTGTCTGATGTGGGAATGTGCAATCTAGACCAAAGTATACAGCATTTGTGCTAATGATGGGTTTATTAATAAAAATTGGTCCTCTAACTTCAACTAAGAGAGTCATAACCATTGTTCTCCAAAGAGAAACCCTTTCCTGTGACCCAAGGTGCCCCCCTACCTATCAGGTTGGGTTTTCTCTGGCCCAGGGTCCTGTTCTCCCATGGCATACTGTTTCTTCTGTTTCGTTTACTCAAAATTGTGGGGCTCTTGCCTTACATTACTAACTACAAGCCAAGTTCATGTTTGCAAATACCTTTGAATTAAATTTTATTAAATGTAGAAACGTCTCTTTGTAAAGACCACTGGATATGAAGTGATGATATTAAACATAAGGGGAGTGAAAAGAGGATTGGCATGGAGGGCGGTGAATAGAGGAAGGAAGAATGGAGCTTCTCCCTGATGCCCTTCTTAGCTCTTTTTATCAGTATTGATTCCTGTTGTCTTTGCAAGAGATGTTTTATAAGATATTTAATAAAAAGAATCATTTATATAGTTTTCATAAATTATTTTGTAATGAATGTCTATGATTTTCCAGTTTAATATCATATATATAATTATAGCTTGAAATTAGATGAATCATAAAATGCTTTTTTACTTCTAATGGCCCTAGCTAGCTTGTTAGTTATGTTCAAAGTACAGCATAGAATATTTTGTCCCTTAGACACGTATGTAAACATAAATAATTGTTAAGTATTCATTGTCTTGTGGACATGGGTAATGTCATAAAGCATGCCAACTGTTCAGTTGTCGTTAAGTCCTGGTGATGGTAAATGACCTTGGTGACATCTGCTCTCACCCCTTTCCAGAAGCGGAGGAACTCTACCAGAAGAGAGTGCTGACAATTACTGGCATCTGTATCGCCCTGCTGGTGGTCGGCATCATGTGTGTGGTGGCCTACTGCAAAACCAAGTAAACGTTCCCCTCGACTCTGTCTACTCCCCTTTGTGTAGAAATAGGTTAAGCAGGCAGGGCTCTACAGTCCTAGGCCCTAGGCCCAAGGCTTGGGCAGAAAAGGGCATAGGTACTTAATCCTTATGTTCCCAACTGAGTAATCTATTTTGTGGACCTTTGCCTGTCTGTGAATCTTAACAGATTTCTCAGTGACCAGGGCTCTGTGAATGGATAAAGGCTTGGAGGGGCAGGCTTGCATCGGATTAGTGTTCCACACAGGCGCAACCCACTGAGAGCATAAATGCTAAGGGTCAAGGATAAGTCCAATGGGCCCAAAAACTTAAGAAATAATGGAAGAATTTTATGGTATCCAAGATACAAATATTTGGTTTTGATGTTGTTGGTTTCTTTGGGGGGGGTGTTGAGAGTTAAAATGAGTATGTTTTATTTCTATTAAATTTCCAATTTAAATGGTCTATAAGTGGGTAGAGCATATAGAAAATTTTTGTTGAAGGATGAGCAAGCCAAATTTGCTTGGGAAAAAAGTTCAAGAGGAAACCTTAAATATAAGGTAGTCATGCTTGGCCTTCCATGGGTGTCCATGTTAGCACACATGTTGGCCAACTGATAAGTTCCCTTCACATTTCTCTCCATTTAGGATTTCTTGAAGTCTAAGTGTAATGCTCAATTAATATAATGAGTTTTGTTTGCTTTTGCCTGATGACGTACTATTTTCTGAACAAAATTAGTCATAGGAATATCTTGTTCTGAGTGTTGTGTTAGAGAACAGAGGTCACATCCATTTTTTGCCACAAAATCTATGGCATGAGTTGTGTTTTCACAGTATCTTATGATTTGGCATGCTTCAAGGACTGGGTGATAAAGATAAGCTCTCATGGAATTGGCATCATAAATCTTATTATATTCAAATTTGAATATTACCACCTCTTCTACAAAATGCATTGCAAGTGTAGAGTCTTGTTACAATTGTGCTAAAATATAATGCCAAAGTATAACCAGAATTCCATTTATTTATAGGTAATGTGCACACACAGTAACAGTGTAAAATGTACAAATGGAAAGCTAAGTTAATTTTCTTAAGGTATCCCATAGGAAAATTTATAAATGGAACCAGCCTTATCGATTCCATAGCTCAAAGTATGTATGTCTGTATGACATAGCCAAAGATATAACAAGCACATTGAGAATTCAGTCAAAAATCAACATATTTACTTTTTCCTCCTTTTTTATTCTTCCTCAGTACAATAGCTACATTTCTATAAGAATTTCACCTAACTATTAAAACCTGCTTTCTAAGGAGGATGTGTGATAGTGCTTATTCTGGGATGGAGAGACTCATACTTCCCTTCCCCCTTCATTGTCACCAGTTGACTGCCTCTAACTATGCATAGTATTGCTAGAATAAAGATTTGGTGGTAACAAAAAAAATATGCAAGTAATAGTAACACATACTCCTTTTTTTTCTTCATATCCAGGAAACAGAGGCAAAAGCTTCATGATCGGCTTCGGCAGAGTCTTAGATCGGAACGGAACAACATGGTGAACATAGCCAATGGGCCTCACCATCCAAACCCACCACCAGAGAACGTGCAGCTGGTGAATGTATGTTGACTGACCACTTGGAAAAAAACAAGCATTTTATGCCATTCAGACACATTGAAATTGGCTTTTCAAACCTTAGACTGTTAGCTGCTGCCACTTATCATAATGGCTTCCAGAAATGCAGTTTTGCCAGGAGAAAATAACTAAAGCTATTTGACACTTTCCCTTACACTGTGTCACTAAGAAGCTGGTATGATGTTTGGTGTGTTCTGCAAGGAGGCCAAAGCAAGAAAGATAAGCAAAATAAATAATAATAAAGCCAGAATCATAAGGAATATTTATTTTAAGACATTTAGAAATGAACACTGCTCCAGTATGCCACTGATTCATAGCAAACCAAGCAAAGGACTTTGAAGTATTTTACTAGGGGGCCCTTCAGGGTACATGTGATTTTCTGATTTTGATTTCCAAAGGAAGAAATTGGGGCATGAAAAGGTGGGAAATTTCTTAAGTATGATGTAAGGAACAAAGCTAGGAAGTGTAATATTTGCTTATTCTCTGGCTCCATCCACGTGACACCATGCCCTCCAGGTGAAAGGCATCCTTAATCATTCAGGTATTTTATTTTTATTGTGCCATACATTTAGGTCTAAATTTGACTAGATCATAGATTGCTCCTTGAGACTATTTGAATGTCATCATCTCTCGTATTAAAGATCGGGACCAGAGCTCTTGTCAGACCTCCTGAATTCTGAAGCATTGTTAGTCATGTTCCAGAAAACCCCCATTCTTCCCTTGGAATGTATAGTCCCTCATTCTTCCCTTGGAATGTGTAGTCCCCAATTCTTCCCTTGGAATAAGTAGTCCCCCATTCTTCACTTGGAATATGTAGTCGTGGAAAGGATATCACAGGCTGGCTCTTTCTGTTCATGGAAACAGTTTTTCTTTTGCGACTTCTGTTATCAGTTGGAAATGAGAGAAATCAAGTTGAGATTTTAAGACCTATCTTGTGCAGACATTCAGAAAGGAACTTATTTACTCCATGTAACTAACTTCAAAGCCAGAGTGGCCAGAAAAAAAGATTTGCCATCTGGCCAGCTGAAACAGAGAGCTGTTGTGAAATAATACATATGAGAACCAATTTGTGCCTGGATTAGTAGTATATTTGTGTTTTGACTGACATGAACTTTCAAGTTGTGTCTCTTTGTTTTTCCAGCAATATGTATCTAAAAACATCATCTCCAGTGAGCATATTGTTGAGAGAGAAGTGGAAACCTCCTTTTCCACAAGTCACTACACTTCCACAGCTCATCACTCCACGACTGTCACCCAGACTCCTAGTCACAGGTATGAAGGGGGAAAAAAATCTCATTTGGAAAAAATTTTCCTTAAGAATGATTTCTTTTGCTCCTTACCATTTATTATCAAGTCCTAACAAAAGGCAAAAGAGACAGTTAAAAGCAGTAAAATGTACTGACTTTTGAACATCCGTAAATATTTGGTTATAAACTGCTTTTCATTGTGCAAGGCTAAGTCTAATGTTTCCACTAAAATAATAAAAGTGGTGAGTAATCATAACCTTAGATAACTGCTCCTCAGTCTAGAAATTGTCATGGTTTGTGCTTTGCTATTCACTGAATTGCTGCCCACTATGGGGGAAAATCTGTCTAGATTCTGTGTGGTACTAGAAGTTTGTTTCTAAAGCTTACACTGCCCTGAGAGTTCCTACAGAGCTGAACACTCGGTACGATTCTGTGATGCTCTGGTGGCCCCATGCTGACTGCACTCACTCTACCAAGTACAGCACCAGGCTTCTAGACATTATAAACACAGCAAGGCCTTTGTTTAGCCCAAGCCACTCAAGTGCTGTGAAACTGCAGTATTACTTAGCACATGGTGGCATCTGCTAAATGTTTATGGAGTGAATATAACAAAAGAATAAACGATGTGTTCACAAATCCAATCTGAATCAAGATTACCTTTACAGCAAAGAGATCCTTGTATTAATTCTGGGCTTCTTGATGTATCGATGACTTGAAATATTTGTCAGGATTTGTTCTTTGCTTTTTTTTTAATGTAACTAAGCCAGTCTATCTCACCGCCACTTTACGTTTCCCCTCTACCCAGTTGGAGTAACGGGCACACAGAAAGCATCGTTTCAGAAAGTCACTCTGTAATCATGATGTCGTCAGTAGAAAACAGTAGGCACAGCAGCCCCGCTGGGGGCCCACGAGGACGTCTTCATGGCCTGGGAGGCCCTCGCGAGTGTAACAGCTTCCTCAGGCATGCCAGAGAAACCCCTGACTCGTACCGAGACTCTCCTCACAGTGAAAGGTAAAACTGAAGGGCAAAGCGATCGTGGAAGAGAGCCTCACCCAGTGAGAGAATCCCATGAGCACCTGCGATCTCGCCTAAAGAAATTCGCCCTTCTGTATGGGGGTCATAAGTTCCCTGATGCTCCTAGTTGATGAAGTCATCCTTTTATGTGGCTGAACTCCTTTCTCCTGAGATTTCCCCATTGTCCCAATGGCTGAAAGGCAACAAACTCTAAAAGAGCAGGAGTAATGGGATGTGGAAGGTACAGCCAACATGGAGTACTCAGACCTGACCATAGGTTCAGACTCACTCAGTGTCTTGCTTTTAAAGGACACTCATCTAATTCCAGTAGTCCAATTGTCCATCTCTACCTCCATGGCTGATCTGACCTTAGTGTTCCCATGCACTAATTGCCCTACCTCTAGCCTTAGTTAATTCAAGTCAAGGGCTTTGTCATTGCTGATGGTCATGAGGGAACATCACCTTGTGTTCCACCATATTGTATCTCATTTATGAAATCCCAGGAAGTGATGGATAAAGGTCGTGTAGGATGATCCTGGCAGCTCTCTCTTATTGGTGATTTTCAAAGCAGATATTGCCTCCGAGATTACCCTTTATTCTAGCATGTTTGCCTTTTATTTTGGGAGAGATTCAGTTTGGGTCAGAGAAGTAACAACAAAGGCAAACTAAAGAATGGAAAAAAGTAAACTGGAAGAGGTACTAAATAGGGATATTGAACTTGGACATTCTTCTTATCCATTTTCACCTATGGTAGAGGAAAGTGATGGCTAGTTGACTTTTTAGCCCATCTGCAAATAGTTATCTGTTGATTTTCCAATCCAATTGACTTATTGTTATCTCAGTCTAGTCTTTTCCCATTGACTAAAAAGGTCAATATAACGCCAAATCCATATGTATTTTGCAGTTAGATGGGTGGAGATAATTTCAAAGAACTTTTCACTTATGGATATGAAAGCACAGTGAAGAACCCAGTAGGTGCTTTCAGGACAAGGTCAAGGGCATGATTACCATGTCCCTAAAGCAGTTTCAGAAAGGATAGAGTTTATGGAGTTACTATTCTCTTTCTAGAACATCTGTAGAAGAGTGTGGTCTAAAACTGCCTTAAGAATATTAGTCTTGTGTAATTATATTTTTGCATATCGAAGTCTGTCTATTCCTGTTTGCCCTTGAAATATACATGGGGATAAGGTTCGGTGTCTCTTCATTACCATGGCTTGTCTTTGGAGGTTCTGTCTGCTAAAGTAGGCATCCAGACATCACCCAGATATTACTAAGAATTACAGAACAGTCTTGAATTGAAAGATCATGGGAGTAAAAATGATGAATCACTTGTATGTGTTGACAGAACTGTGACTAGCATATCTCAGAAGGTCTAATTTACGTACCCTCAAAAAAATGTCTGCAGACTTGGGTCCCAAATATTCCAAATTTTGAGACACTTTTCCCAGTTTTAAACATAGCTGGGTCTCACTTCTATATCACCCTGAATCGTGGAAAAGTGAGAGCATTAATAGTCTTCCTTTTCCGTTAGCTGGAGTATCCTGTGTTATCACAGGTCACATCAAATTAGACTGTGATACTGTGCATGGCTAGCATTTTTATCAAAAGCTGAGGAAAATGACTCAGACGCAGTCCAGAGGACAGGCCTTCCTGTTCTAGGGAAGCCACAGTGCTGCAGAATAGGAACGCAGTGTCTGAAATGTAATGGTGGCATTCACAAACATAACATGGCATAAGATACCCAACGCTTGTGTATATACACAAGGGCTTGCTACACACTTTGGAAGATCTTTGGCATGTGTCCCCAGAAGAAAGCCAAAGGCTGCTGCAATGGTGGCATTTGGAAGAGAAGTAGATGGGAGATTGGAGTTAGTGTCCACTGTGGTAACATGAAACCAAATTATGGTTCCTTTCAGACTTGGCTTTGAATGTATTGCACCCTGAAATGGATAGTTGCAAATTTGAATGTTAACTAGTAGCATTTCATGAAAATTTCAACTGAATGGCACACAAATGTACTACACTGTTATCAGGAATAAATCTTTAAGTTACTATGCTCTTTTTTTTTCATAAGACATAACCTTATAGCTGAGCTAAGGAGAAACAAGGCTTACAGATCCAAATGCATGCAGATCCAGCTGTCAGCAACTCATCTTAGATCCTCTTCCATTCCCCATTTGGGCTTCATTCTCTAAGACCCTTTGGCCTTTAGGAAGGTATAGTATTTAAGAATACTTCTTTCCCTTCTAAGTCCCCAAGCCTCGGTCTTTGTAAGCTGATAGGTTCTTAGGAGCCCCCTTTTCTTGGCTCACAATCTCATATTTGAATTCATGATGAGACTAAACTCTCAAAAGTTTGAATGACCTAGATGATTTAGCTGATCTTTGCATGATTCCTGTAAGGAAACTCGTGGCTTTATAATGATAGAATCCAAGGGTGCTGAACTTCTAGTGTAAAACTTAAGTGTTCAATGATGACTCTTCTCTGACTATATCCCATGATGAACTCTGTCCCCCACCCCTCCCTGCTCCATGCCTCTTATTCCACTACACTCATGTGGGGTATTCTGTGCTCATACAGGTATGTATCAGCCATGACCACCCCGGCTCGTATGTCACCAGTAGATTTCCACACACCAAGCACCCCTAAATCGCCCCCTTCGGAAATGTCTCCACCTGTGTCCAGCATGACGGTGTCCATGCCCTCCATGGCAGTCAGCCCATTTGTGGAAGAAGAGAGGCCTCTGCTTCTTGTGACGCCACCAAGGCTCCGGGAAAAGAAGTATGATCACCTCCAGCAACTCAACTCCTTTCATCACAACCCTGCACATCAGAGTACCAGCCTCCCCCCTAGCCCATTGAGGATAGTGGAGGATGAGGAGTATGAAACGACCCAGGAGTATGAGCCAGTTCAAGAGCCTGTTAAGAAACTCACCAACAGCCGACGGGCCAAAAGAACCAAGCCCAATGGCCACATTGCCAATAGGTTGGAAATGGACAGCAACACAAGTTCTTTGAGCAGTAACTCAGAAAGTGAAACAGAAGATGAAAGAGTGGGTGAAGATACACCATTCCTGGGCATACAGAACCCCCTGGCAGCCACTCTTGAGGCGGCTCCTGCCTTCCGTCTGGCTGATAGCAGGACTAACCCAGCAGGCCGCTTCTCAACGCAGGAAGAATTGCAAGCCAGGCTGTCTAGTGTAATCGCTAACCAAGACCCTATCGCTGTATAAAACCTAAATAAACACATAGATTCACCTGTAAAACTTTATTTTATATAATAAAGTATTTCACCTTAAATTAAACAATTTATTTTATTTTAGCAGTTCTGCAAATAGAAAACAGGAAAAACTTTTATAAATTAAATATATGTATGTAAAAATGTGTTATGTGCCATATGTAGCAATTTTTTACAGTATTTCAAAAACGAGAAAGATATCAATGGTGCCTTTATGTTATGTTATGTTGAGAGCAAGTTTTATACAGTTACAGTGACTGCTTTTTCACAGTATTTCAGCAAAACCTCCCATATGTTCAGTTTTTGCTGGCTTCTCGTGCGTTGCATTATGATGTTGACTGGATGTATGATTTGCAAGGCTAGCAGCTGTCCCTCTGTTTGCTTCCAGTAGCACTCAACCAGTACTGTCTTGAAATGGCACATCCGTCCCAATACTCTTCTATTTTGTATGAAGTCTTTGCTTTCCGAACATGAATGAGTTCTCTCTACTCTGTCAGCCAAAGGTTTGCTTCACTGGGCTCTGAGATAATAGTAGACCCAACAGCATGCTACTATTACATATAGCAGGAAACTGCATTAAGTAATGTTAAATATTAGGAAGAAAGTAATACTGTGATTTTTAAAAAACAAACTATATTATTAATCAGAAGACAGATTGCTCTTGCTAAAAGGAGCTACCATTGACTTTAATTTTAAGTTTTTAGTTGTTGTTGCTCTTGACAATGAGTAGCAGCTTCAAGTACAGCTTAGAAAGTGGGTTCTGGCTTGCTATCCAGATATATCTTAACAACTTAGAAAGGACTCAGTTTTACTTTCTCTCTTGGGGGAGGGGCATGATCCAGCAGTTCATCTGTTGACCAGCCAACCACAGCTGCTAAAGGTGCAATCCTTTCTGACATAATTTTTCAACTGACTGGTGGAACCCTCTTCTCAGCTCTAGAAGAGGTACATTGTGTCATGAAGCCTCAGCCCCAAGAGTATACTCAGCCATCTGTTCAAACCACTTGTAAAGTACAGTGTGCCTGTGATACATAGCAGTGACTTGGCCATTGTAGGAAAATGTTCCACTTGTAGAGTGTTTAGAAGGGTTGAATGTGTAGAAGTCACAAGGGGAAAGCAGCTGTGTGACTCAGTTTACATCCTAAAGTTTGGTTGGCCACTCCTTTCTCCCATTACATTTCTCTTATGTTCAACCTTGCCTTGATTAAGTCATAACTATGCATGAATATTTTTTGCCAGGAATGGCCAATGTGCATGTGATTTGTGATTAGCAGGAACTTTCCACAGTGATGCCTCACTAGGGAATATCAATAGTGTTGGAAAGATTGCACCTTTTCTTGCAGAAGTGACCCTCACCTGTGGACTGATCTCTCTCCATAGATAGACTGTATCTTCCATTTCTATTTTTCCTCTCTTAGTATTTTTTCCCATATTGTCTCAAAAGCAGGGCTAGGATTGGTTTAAACTCTATATGTTTTCTTATTATTATAAAGCCAATGAATGCTTATAGATATTAACATATGAACAGGAAAAATAAGAAAAGTTGTGAAGTTGTGTGTGGTGGGGGAATAATCCCTCAGAACCTTTTATATTCCCTTCCTGTTATCTGTCAATCAGGACTGGAGCTTATTGAGTTTTTAAGTAGGCTCCTAGGAGTCACATATGGGAAAATGGGAAATCGTTGAACAGGGAATTGACAAAGTCAGTGACAATTATTGATTCTTGTTTTCAGTTGAACCAAATCTATTTTCTTTACCAAATCTTTGTTACAAGTCAAGGGAGGTAATAACACATGAGTAGGTCTTAGAAGAACAGTGCAGGCTGACCACAAGTCCAAGTGTTACACTCCTCCCTGTTTCTAAGAGAAGCTTGTCTGTTACTCTCACTATTTGATATCTTTCATTTCTTGGTATTGTTCATGGGACAGTTATATGTGTTCAGTGCATTTTCCTTCTTTGCTTCTCTTTGCCCATCCAGAGAACCACCTGCTGGTGAAAGCCTGCACTGGCTTCCCAGTGGCTGCAGATAGTCAACTCTCCACAGGGAGGACGAGTCAGCAAACCTGAAGATACGTTGACTTTGAAGGCCTTGACTCACCTATTGTTCAATAAAGAAATCTCTTTATTGTTACTTTGAAACTCTTAAAAATTCAATTCTCAATTGGTTTGTCACTGGGGTATTGAGAAAAATCCCTTCAAAGAAAAAAATGGACTCTCCTGATAAAACCAATGAGCAACATTTTGCTATCATGAGAAGCCCTATAAATTTGCAAATTGTAAATATATGTGACCTTTTTTCTTCTGTGATTTATCTGACAATCCACACTTGTCTTATTAGCTGAAAAAGCCTTTTCCCCAAGATAACAAAGCTTCCTTGGTAAGAACAGCCACTTGGCTGCTCGGGGCTACCTGCTGTAGCCTCTAGATTTATGTTTCTAGGTATGTCTCTACAATGTTTCATTGCCAGATTTCTCTCAACTATCCTGTTTATGCATCTAGGCAGAGCTGTAGCAATGCATAGGAATGTACACCTGGGGTCCTGGCATGTGTGAAGATGCCTTGCATTTTAAGGGAGTTCAAACTACTCAGAATTTAACAACAACTTTGTTTCTTGGGTCTGAAATAAAAACTACTGAGAGTTACATAGCGGGGTATAGTAGACACCAAACTCCTTTTGTACTTACTCAAGATTGGTTTTCTGTCCTGCTCTTCGCTCCTTTTCTTCCACTCCCTCAAGAGTGCCTGGTGGACAGCCTTCTGCTTTCTACAAAATGGTCCTCTGTGTAAGAGAGAATGTGTCTCAAACAGCAATATGCCATCCCTTTCTTGTTTCTTTGTGACTGTCGATGTAGGTGGAGTCTATCCAGGGTAACTTTCTCTGTATCTATTCCTTTTTTGGCCTGAGGTTGAAGGTATATGGCTCCTATCAGTAAATAAGGAAGATCTGACTTTCCCTTTTAGTCCTGGCTGCATTCCAGCAGCTGCAGGGATTTCTATCCACTAAGATCCATGACACACTATGGAGAAATGCAGGCAAAATGAAATGGCCACAAATCACAATTTCTATTATATATTTTTTGTAAATACATATTGTATAGTACTTGGATGTTCTCAAAAGTCATTTATTGTCTTTATGAGTTAATGTTAGGTTTTCTTCTCATGCTGTATAACATTGTAAATAACATAATGTCCTTTATTATTTATATTTAAGCATCTAACATAGAGAATTGTTTTCATATAAGTTTAAGATAAATGTTTAAAATATGTTTTTTCTTTGCTTTAAAATTATGTACCTTTTCTTTTTTCATCCTAAAGAATAATTTATTGTTCAGGAGAAAGAATATATATATATGTTATTGAAACTATTTGAAGAATGCCCATTTGAAGGCCATGAGGTACTGATAAACTAAAGAATTTATTATCTCCAATACTAAGCAATAAGTAATTGTGATTTATTTAAAGTTTTGTTCATTTCCCAAGGAAGTCATACTGCAATAAAAATGCTACTCTGTGGAGACATGAGCGTGTTGCTCAGCAGACTAGCACTGCAGTCTGCTAGAGCAGTACTTGTCATCTAGCCTTGACATCTGTGCTATCCAGGACTGTGCATCATGGACCCAGTGATCATCTTGTCTCTGCTGATTTTGCCGCATTGCCCATCCTTGAGTCACTCCCCTCCTAACTCTGTTTAACACTTCATTGCTTGCTGTAGGAGACACACACTCAAGCAATAGAATGTTCCATTCCACAGCCACCAAACCTCCATTCACAAAGACATCAGAGGGAAGGAAACATTGCATAACTTTCTGGATCCTGCGTGTTGATATATTCTGCAGTGACATCAAGAAACTTATTTTCATTAATGGCAATGACTTACATGCCAATCCTATGCAAACATTAAGAGAGAGCAAAAACTATCATGGATCAATGGCCACAATAGCCTCAAAAACATCTATGCTAAACTTCCCTATAATGTCTTTAAATTTACTTCCCATCATGTACACCATTTTATAAGAAGGCTAAGGAGCAATGGCTTTATTATTCTCCTCATTCTATCAATAAAACAAACCGTTGCCCAAAGTACTGCTCAGGGAGGGGCCTATGCACGAAATACTCCTCACATTCTAAGACTCATCCTAGAATGGATATAGTGCTTTTTTAAATTAAGATTAACCTTATGAAGCCATATTTTAACAAATAGATATTTTGTGTGTAATTTTTATATATTTCAATCATTCTACTCCTTATCTCAGATAAATGGAGGGCATTTAAAGGATGTGTAATAAATCAGCCTGCTTTGAAGTTAGAGAATAACCTGAGATTCCTCATCAAAGTTTACCTCCACATGTAGACCCAATTCCTGTTAACTCATAATAGCATCTCTAACATCTTTCCAAAGGAGTCTAGATGTCCAGGAAACTTAATGTTCTGAAGCCACAAAGTGAATACACAAGTCAACCATATATCAGAAGATGAAAGAATATTTAAAAGTTAGAGTCTGGGACCTTTTCCTCGGTTTATGCTGTATATTTGCCAACCCCATGCTCAAACTAAAAACTGTAAGTGATAATAGCAGTAACTTAAGATAGATGTGTTAAACTAAGTGGTCATATCATTTCAGGCAGAAGAGTATGCAAAGACAGTTAGTGTAGAAAAATTAAAATTCAATTTTACTCAAATTAGAGTCTAAATAATTACTAGTATTCTCCAGTTGTATTTGACTCTTGAATGACAAATCTAGGGTTGTTCTACACACTAGAAAGACATACATTTTGCCAGGCACTCTGAAGAACTTTTTCTCTGCTCCAATGACGAGTCATCAAAGGTCTTAACCTCAAGGATTTGGGAATAAGTCAAGCTGGGCTGAATTCTAAACACTTAAGGTACTGGAGGAGTGGGAGTCTCAGTTGTTCTTAGCATCATGTTGCACTGTAAGTCTCTCTCCCTGTCTCTGGATTCTTCTCTCAGTACCAATAAATTAAAAAATAGTTTATGGAAACTATTACTCCAAAAGATTAATTTGATAGCAGCTGAGAGCTTCATATTTATGAAGGGAAAACCCCTATGTTGGTTTAGGAAGCTGCATATTGTATCCTAGAGGGTAGTATTAGATAGGGGAGTCCATGTTCTATACATATCTGTATGCATATTATACCCTAGAAGGTAGTATTGTATAGGGCAGTACATGCTCTGTACATATCTGTACATCTTACTGACCCCCTCATTCTGCAACTCTTACACCTCTCTCTTGGTTTTTAGCTGGTTGAACTTAAAAATCATCACCTATCACAGGAAAAGGTTTTTGTTATTGTAAAAATATCATGATCAGTGTCTTTTAGTAATAAAAATGAGAGACAGAGAAAGGAGTGATGATTCAACCCAAGGATCTTCTTCTAAATGTCCTCTTTCAAATGGACTTCTTAAACAGAAATTTATGGAGGAAAAGATATCTCTTCTCACCAAACTATGTTCCAACAAAGTTGAAGAATTGAGTATATTTAATGTCTTATATATAAATTTACACATAAATAATCAAATTATTAAATATTATTTTATACTGTTTATGACTTAAAATACCATGTATCTTTTTATTTGCTTCATGCTAGAGAAAAAATGGTGGAAATTTAAGCCCAGGAAAATTAAAACTTATTCTCAGAGCAATTTCTATTGAGTTGTAGAGATGCTGTAGATACCTAATTTCTCTCAGTTCTTTCTCTGGCACTAGCCTAAGCAAAATGAGCATTTTCACTTCCAGATCTCTTATCATAGTACAAGTTATATATAAGTCAGCTTTTATTTTGGAGGAGTGAGCCTTCCTACCTTTGATTTGCAGATAGTCTGGAACCCAATTTGCCTAATGTAGCAACTCTATGCATCTTCCCTAACCTCAACTTTCTAAAGAAACACAAGTATAGCTGTGGGAATTAATTCACCATTTTGATATGTAGGTGGCAGATTATAGTCAAAAGGAGAACATTGTGATCAGAACAACGTCCCTAACTCTGACACTTTGTGGACTTGGGCAGCTTCCTCCTCCCACTTTCCTCTAAGGCTATGGTTCTGTGAGGTTTAAACTCGAGCACATATAAGGAAACTAGAAAATGTCTAGCACACAGTGAGTGTTCCGATGGTTTTTGTCCCTTCTACAGCCTAAGATCCTGGATTCAAATAAAGTATGCTGCACTGCACAAGCTGGCAAGAAAAACCATTGCACCAACCCCATGTCAGCAAGAAAATGGTTTTTCAGTAACAAAGATATGTTGAGAAGCATTATCACCAAATAGCTTTTAAAGTAGCGGGTTTTAGAAGCTAAGACCTTTGTGTATTTTATGAGTAGTTTGCTTCTTGTGTATCCCTGCCATTCCATGTCTATGCACCAATTTTTAATGGCTTGTGATAATCTTTGAATGTAAGTCCACAGAAAATTAATGAAACATGACTCATTGTATAGTTTGCATAATGCCACCTTCACACTTCATTCTAAGTTTCAAATAGGACAATCAAAAATTTCTCTTAATCCTACATAACAGCTGATCTCTAGACACCCATTGGCCTTAATTTTATGCATAATGTCCACATATAAATCTATTTGGAAAATTACAATCCTAGTCAAGGCTTCCAGGGTGATAAAACTAGGAAAGTCTCAGATTAATACCAAAATCACATATATTTATGGATGCTCGTACCCACCCCATTATCTATCCAATAATTCTTCAAGTTTTAACTTACTCTTTCTGTGCATAAAATGAGAATCTTTTCTCATCTATATGATGCAATTGATAGTTTATAGGCTTAAGCTGTTTGAATTCAGTCTTTTAGTCTTTTAAACCTTGATCCTCCAAGAGTGTGTGACCTAGGCTCATGATGTTAATCATCGTGCTTGCAAATAAGAATTGCTAATAGCATTGGAGTCCGACATAATTGTTCATGGATATCTTCCCTTTAAATGAAGCATTTTTATTGGGAGCAATTATTAACTCTAGTTTATCACAAAACAATGCAAAGGAATATTTTCTCGTTTTTAAAAATATAGTCTTTTAGGTAGACACTTTGTGCCTCTGATCATTAGCATCATGAATTGAGTAGGCGTTGGTCATCACTAACTTTCCTTCTAAAGTGAGGATATTCTAAGTTTACTAGCTATATGCCAGGTTCCTGGAAATTCCTACTACTGTGGTTATCCAGATTCCTCTGGTCCCTTAGAGTGGAGCCTAAAGTGAGCTTTTTTCCTTTTCTAGGAAGAGGCTACATCTGGGATATCCATTTGTTGCTAGTAAATCCATAGTAAAGCAATCTCCATCATGAAGAAGGAGGAGTCAAGTGCTGCATGTGACAGCTTGTGTCTCCATTAACTACGCCCTTCTGATGATGAACTGTGGTTGCATTCATACAGGACTCCCTAGACAGCTTCCAGCTTACCCTCTACTCTCCCCAGCATCTCCCTTTACCAATTACAAAACGCAAACATTCTAATTATGTTGAGGGGACCATCGCAACTTATACCCACCTATCAAAATTCCCATGGGCCCTCATAATAATGTGCAAATATTATGTGTGTCTATTAAAAGCTCTAAAGTTATAAAACTATACAACCTTCATACCTTGATCAAAAACCTAGAAGTGATTGAATTTAAAGAGAATTCAAGGTAATATTCTTGAACTAAGATGCCTTCCTTGGTAGGCCCTTGGGAAAGTTTTAGGGCTGGTGGAGGTGCTGCTTTTCTGATACCTGGCCACAGATTTCTCACAACATGAAAAGATACTAGCTCCACCACTCATTCAGGAGCTCACTCTTCAAGGAGTTGGGTGTCCAGACAGGACTTAGGAGTAAGGTAAATCACTTTCTTCCTGTGGAGATGTTAAAATGGACATGCAGGGTTTCGCTCAGGTTAAAACCACATCAATTATCAAAGAAGCAACTGCTGTTGGGAAATAGCCCCACTCTTGTACAGGCACCTGACACTCACAGACTAAGCTACACTAGGACACTATTTGACATGTCTCCCTCCACACCAACTGGGTGACAGATGACTGTCAAATTGTTCCATTACCTCCTCCATAACCTTGCTTCGTCCTCGTTTCTTGCTCTCATCCTCTGCCACAGGGCCACCAGCATCCTGACTGACCTGCTTCATCTGCTCTTGTGGGCCATCCTTCACATTCTGGTGATGAATCCTAACTCTCACTTCTTAGCAGGCTAGACTGGTGGTTAAACCATGGCTTCCCATGGACTAAACTCCTCAGCCTGACGTAAGAGGCCCTTCACAGTCTGACTCTGTGAGATGGTTCTAGCTTGTCTCCCATCATCATTGTTCATTCCAATCTCGTGAGTTTCTGTTTCTGAAGTACACCACATTGATGTTATCAAATCCCAGTCATTGGCATACCGACTTCATATTATTTCCATGTACCTCTTGTATTATTATTTGCATATTGTTTTTGATTGACTGCATTTTAACTAAAATAAAGTCATTTCAAATTAAACTTTGTATGGGTACCATGAATAGAAAACTGCAATCAGCTGCCATAATTAAAAACTGTAAAAACAAACATAATCAAAATGAAACATCTAGTTCTAGCAAGATACCATTTTCTGCTGAAGTCTCAGGATGCAATGTCTGTTCTCTGACAAGAGGAAGACCAGCAAGCTTTACAAAGAGGGAAGATATATTCAGGAATCATGGGAAGATTTATTCCTTCAGTTTATTATGCCTGAGATGGAATTGATGAGGAAGTTACTTCTGCTATTTTTATTAAGTATTGCCTAATGCTTGATGCTAGGTCGGTGTGGATTCACATAGTCATCCCTGCATCTTAAGAAGCAGACAGTCACCCCTGTGTGTACCTGTTCATTTTGCTGGAGTTCCCTTCTTCACTTAGCCTCCTGATAAACATTCTTATCTTTCCTGTGGGTAAAATAAGTCACCATCTTTGCAAATAGTCTCATGGGGACATTCTGCCTTTCCTGGGTGGTGGTTTTCTCTTACTCCCTCATAGCACACTGTGCATGTTTCAACTGTGTTTTCTATCTACCCCACACATAGAATTCCCCCTGCAGAAGGCTGTGTATCCTTTGAGCACAGGGACACTGACCTAAGTGTGCATGGTCACTGCCTAGTACAGGGCTTGTGGCATGATAAACAATATACAAAAAACAAAACCACAGTGGCTAGCAACAGGGGCTACTTACACACATTTAAGACAATGTGAAGAATCCAGATAATTCAATGCATTTTTTTAAAAGTCAATAATAAAATACTTGCCCATTGGGTTATTTTTTAAGGAGATAATTAGAATTAGTCTTCTTAAATTGTTGTCAAAAAGAAGCAAACAAAACACCCCAAAGCAAAAAAAAAAAAAAAAATCGAGCCGGTGTCTGAAGAATAGGAGTTTCTGGTCTACACTAGATTTTGTAATGGATTTCCAAAATTTGCAAGTAATTTTGCACTCAGCCTGGCTTTGTCTCCACTGCCTCTCCTCCTTAAAACTGACCCATTAACTCTACTCAGCCTTCTCCCCACACTTGTTCTCTAAGACCCCAAAATTAAACATCTTCACTGGATATGGTTCACTAGGTTAGTCTGATAAAGCAGATTTTTATACTCAGTATTGAATTTACAACAACCCAATGTTTGGAAGCCCTCACAGAAAGCCTTTCATACTGCATGTCCCCAGCGAGATTTTCAAATGTACTTTTAAAACATGCAGTCAACATGCTCTACAAGTAAATGAAAATTATAACCTAATGCAGTGTTGTAAGACTAGTGGCTACAGATCTGTTCTGGATGATTCTGGTTCACAGGTTGGCACAATATGACTTGTAGCAAGGAAGTAGAAAGACTCTACTTTTACCATACAAGACTTCTGTTTCCAGTAGTTTATTTAGTCTAGAAGTAGTTTTCTTTATTGAATAAAAAAATCTGGCAAATCGTTTAAAAGTGAAACCTTCTGCTGTACATTCACCTGGGTGATTTTTTTTTTTTTTTTGGTTTTTCGAGACAGGGTTTCTCTGTGGCTTTGGAGGCTGTCCTGGAACTAGCTCTTGTAGACCAGGCTGGCCTCGAACTCACAGAGATCCACCTGCCTCTCACCTGGGTGATTCTAAGGTCACCCATAACTTTAGTAATCCAAAGGCTCAAGGGTTAAAATCACATAGTCATTAAACTTTACTAGCTAATGAACAAAGCCAAATGATAGTGCTGCCGGTGGTTGGCTGGAATCTTGTGCAAATTTAAACTTCAAAACAGAGGCAGTTGTATTGAAAATGACAGCATTTTCTCCAATACATCATTTTATCACAATTTGTGGATCTAATAACACCTCCAAGCCCTTCAGACTCCATGCCTATCAGATTTGGCATCAGTCTCTATGTTGCCAACAACCTGAAGCTGGAGGTGCCAGCAATAGCATAGCATTTAAGAGGGAAGATACCACATTGTTCCTGATCACAAACTCCCCACTTAAAAATGCAGATTCGGAGACACGAACATCCCAGGACCTTGTAAATGACTAAGCCCATGAGGCCAAACTGTCTGTGTCCCAAGACTGAGCAGTGGTTTGTTTTCTTCTAAACCAGTATCTGCCACTTTGATGCTGCATGCTTGTCATTGCTAAGCTTAGATTTCTGAGACATGAGGACTGTAAAATCTGAGCAAGCCTGAGATATCCTGGGAAAGTCTGTCTCAGCCTCTCTCTACCCGAGTAAAACAATAGCTAGAAGTTCAAACAAATCATGTAAATGTTTGTGACACTTATCTTTGGAGACACAGACCATTTTGCTGCTCACAATCTCCAAACCAATAAAATGTGGACCTGGAAAGAGAATCTGGCCTCTTTCTCAATGGTATAGACATCCCAAGTCTAGTAACCCATTCTTCCTTGTCCAGGCTCCTTTGTCAATCCTCCACTCTAAGTTCACATTGTGGAACTTTCCCTAGTGTTTATCAATACTCAGCAAAGGGTAGATATGGTAGAAAGAACAGGAGACCAGAAACCATCAAGATCTAGGTTGGGATCCTCACTTTCTCCCATAAGAAATTTTGGTCATATCCTCATAGTGAATGAAGGAGATTAAATGAGATAATTATTGCATACAAACCTTAGTATGCTATACTGTCATCTAGTAGTGTACAATTAATAGCAAATCTTAGCTGGTCATGGCTATAACTCTAGTATAGGGAGGATGGAGGATCTGGACAAGGGGATTAAGAGTTCCAAGACAGCCTGGTCTACATAGTAAGTTCCAAACCAATCTGGACTCCATAGTTAAGCCAAACATACAAATATGCATGCATACATTTGTACATAAATATATGTATATATTTTTATTTAATTTAAGCAATTATGTCTTTATTTGTAAACAACTGTTCTGGGTCTGAGAGAGGAAAAGGAATCCTGACTTAGCAACCTAGTTTGTGTCAGAGGGAGATCTGTAGAGGCTGCAGCTTCAGAGTGTAGAATTTGTGTCCAGATTGACACTCCCGACCCCTACCCACCCACCCATGGCCACTTTCCTCACTCAGCTATACCAAGACAACAGAGAACGAACTTCCTGAGACTGAACTGGCCCAGTGGGGCACATGCTTCTTTTTCTCTAAGAAGAATTCAGTTTTACAAATTCAGAAATGAACATGATGGCTTGCTCCATCCAATTAAGGAGGGCTAATTTAGCTTTTTAAGGCCATTCGTTATGCTTAGTCTTCTCCTTCACAGGCCCAGTATTTTGGCTCCACTCAAGACCCAGCATCTCTCTGAACCCTGAAAACAATCGCTTTCCATTTTAAGATTTGGTCTCCTGGCAGTGCTACAGTCCCCATTTTGAGGAAATTGGTGCTTGGCAAATAATGAGACAAAGTTTTGTAGATTATGAAGGTTATGGCATAGTGTTCTCCTGCCTTATGGCTTAGTTTAATTAAATATACCACAGTAATAACTGGACTGTAGAATAAGCCCTTGTTTGTCCCCAAGGTAAGTAACTGCAAGAGCAATAAAAATATGAGAGGCACTGTCTAACTCATCTGCCTATGACAAATTTAGTGAAACCTATTTATTTTTAAGGGGATTGGATGAAATGAGTGAGAAGCAACCCTGGGAATTCTGCATGCACAGGAAATTTCCAAAATATGCTTACAGAAAACAAATCAGCAAACCTACTGAAAACTACTTTCTGACCTTGAAATTATTCTGTAGCCACTGGATCTTGAAGACATTGGTGGAAACGGTTAAAGCAGCTGTCTGGGACTTTAATCAGCATGTCAGGTCTGCCACACCCCAATCCCCACCCCAAGGTGTCAGGATCTCCAGCAGTAGCATCTTCTCCAGGATGGGGCTCTAGCACAGGAGTCAGGATGCCAAGATGCATTTCCTTTTCCAACTGACACCCAGGTAGGTATATCTTTTGTAAGATTTCAGATGTGCTCAAATACTAAGACATATTACTGTTATTAGGGATGTCTCTGTTGCTATGATAAAACATCATGACCGAAAACAAGTTGTCGAGGAAAGGGTTTATTTGGCTACTGCTTCCACATTGTAGTCCATTGGAGGAAATCAGGACAGGCACTCAAATAAGAAACCTGGAGGGAGGAGTTGATGTAAAGGCCATGTAAAAAATGCTTACTGATTTGCTTTCAGCTTGGTCTTAGGGAGGCATTTTCTCGATTGAGACTCCCTTCTCCCAGTTAACTCTAGATTGTGTCAGGTTGATATAAAACTATCTAACACATTAAGATACAAAACTATACATATTTTTGCTTTTGAACCTGACAAAATTGGTGTCCTGAAGACATAGGATGCTTGGCATCTCTGCTCAGGCTTGTGGGAAGGCACCTTTGTGGGAATGGGGCTATTCTCAGCTTCCATTTCCCTTGCTGTCTTCAGAAGATGGAGAAAGAGCTCATTGAGTGGGGTAGTGTAACAACAATTTTCTATCATAAGATAGAAATGAGGGAGATTTAGACAAATAACAAATGGCTTCTCAATAACTAGGGAAACCAGTCATCCATTTGTCAATAGTGGTACAATCTGAAGCCACTGCTTGAGGCTATCCAGGAGATGATGCTCAGTGACATGTGGTCGTTGAGGACCATCTGCCACCTGCCAGGTTGTAGAGTGAACACTGGCTACACTCTGAATCCATGCACTGCTACAACTACATGTTGATGGTTCCTTAGATGCCTGACACTTAATTATATCATTGTTCTTCATTCCTTCCAAGCCTCATTTTCATTCATTACGTGACATGCTATCATTAGACATACATGGACTGAGTATGTGTGATACACACCACACTGTGCTAGAAGCCATTGGTACAAGGAAGAAAAAAATGCATCTCATTCGAACACATCTAATCCTTCAGAGATGACACATTCAGAAATTTAAGAATAATGCATAAGCAATATCAATGTGACTAGTTTAACAGAAAAGAACACAAGAGTTAGACTGTTTTATCATACGTTTACTACCAATTCTGCCATGTAGATTTT